GGGGGGGGGGGGGGGGGGGGGGGGGGGGGGGGGGGGGGGGTCACTCATTGCCGCGCATGCCGTAGTCGGTAGACCACTGACCTTGGATCTCGATAAAGCTGGGATGGAGCACGCCGGGTTTTCATCCCACCAGGCTCTTACATCACCAAGCGCGAAGCGCCGTGAGGCGTTCGGCGAGTCGGGACGGAGAGACGGCGGGTGGGGGTGGGGGTGGGGGGATGTACGGATTTGGGGCTTCGAGACGACACATAGAGGCAGAGTGAGGAAGACGACGACAACTGCGGGTCAGTGAACGTGTGCTTAGGGTGCGAAAGTGTTCTTGTTTCTCCCGCCACCCAGCACAAGCTCGTGGCAGCAGCCGAGCAGGGCAGTCCCGGAGAGACGTGCAGTCGAAGCTCTCACACACAAGGGCCAAGACCGAATCGTCGGAATGATCGAACCCGGCCCCCTTTATCTCGAGATTTTTTTGTACCCGAACCTTGCCGCGTAGTATCCATCACTACGGGCGACAAGAGTATGCTTTGGCGATGTCCTAATCCCCCAACATGACTTGTAACTTCGTTGTTGCCCTCGTCCAGTGTTTCTGGCTCACCTGGGTATCGCTACCGTGGACTTCGAGTTCCAGCAAGACGAAGCGGCGGAATACGGAGTCTGTGAGTGGAAAGATTGTTGCAGAGGTTGAGCAAGTAGTGATGGCGGGAGTCGGCTATGCATTTTGTCCCGGCCGCATTGGCCCACTTCGTGTATCTCCGTACCTTCGTGGCTCTCCCGAGGTCCACAAAAAGCCATGGTGGTGGACGGCAGAGAAACACAAAGCTGCGGCAAAAATACGCCAGGTAGGACGCAAATGATGCAGTTTGCCGTCACACCATCAGAGTGGACAGCTGTCCTCTCTGTGTTTGAGAAACGATCATAGACTAACCGTTTCAGAGAAAACCCGTTGGCGTCCTTAGAGCGATAGTCGAGAAAAACGTGCTAGACTGTGCTGGACTTGCAGCGAGAGCTGAAGAAAAACGTTGCTGGACTCATTTACGTCTGTACTAGCCTATACACGGAAACATCTACGGTTCCCTTCCTTTGTGTTAGAACCATGGCTACATTGTACACATACTCACTCTCCTTGTCGTACTCCCGTCCGCCTATCCCGCCCCCCAGACCATTCCATCTACGACAGCTTCAGCTGGGTGGACAACTACGGCGACCCGGGTTTCCGCTACTTTCAGGCGGCGTCGCGGGTGTGGGGGCTGCTGGCCCTCCGCCTAGCCACCTCCGACGTCCTCCCTTTCGACCCTCCCCTCCAAGCGGCCGCCCTCCAAGAGTACGTGAACACCCTGTCTCCCAGCAGCAGCAGCAGCAGCAGCAGCGGCAGTGGCGACGAAGATGCTGGGAACATCGGGGGATCCCTTGTCCTTTCAGAGACGGACCTGGCCCCGCTACAGGACGCGGTGGAAGCCTTCCGTGCGGCCGCGGACAAGGTTGGGTCTTGGTCGCAGGAGGCGTTTTCCTCGTCCGGGGCCGCCGGT